AACCCTCTGGAGAAGGGAGACCCCCTGGAGGAGGGACTCAGGGATCCCTGAGTTTTAAGATCAGCTCTGCAGGCCATGGCTCTTACAAGGTTTTCAGTAGGAGGTGGCATCCACAGCATGGTTTGCGTTTCAATGAATTACGCATTCAGGGTGGTATGGTCATAAACGGTAAGTTATTCCAGGCACGGTGTGGAGGGTGGAAGAGGGTCAGAAAGGAAGGTCAGTATGGAGGCTTTTGTGATGGTCCAGTAAGACATATTAAAGGCCTGTAGAGATGAAAAAGAGCAACACTGAGATTTTTAAATATAACGAAGAAGAACTCTGGCGGTATGATGGTTAAGACTCTGTTCTTCCATTTCAGGGGGCACAGGTTTGATCCATGGTTGGTGAACTAAGAATCCACATGCCGCCTGGCACAACTGAAAGATAAGAAAATAATAATGAAGATAATGACGAGAACATGAATATGAGTATAATACACGTGCTGCCAAAGCGATCACTGAACATGAGTATAATACAATGGATTTTTTACGTGTACACATATAGATATGTAAAATTTTATAGTGCACACATGTTTCAAGTTTTGTGAGAAGACAGCAGAGTCGGAAAATAACACGAGTTGTCAGGGGAACGAGAGATGAGGAAGTGTAGGAGAGACATTTGAACTAGGATTTTACAAAACAAAGAAGGGAACTTAGATACAGCAAAGCATGCATAAAGCAAAGAGAGGATCTACCGTGCTTTAGAATAATAGGAAGTGGAGATGGATTTAAATATAGTTGCTTGAGGGAAAGTGGTGGCGCATGAGGCAGAAAAGAGAAGGTAAGGTCTCCAGAGTGTGGCTGGCTGCTCACCAGGCTGTTTCTTCCTCTTCCGGAGTGAACACACTTCCTTTGCACTTAAATGAAGCCGTGCGGTGGAGTCCTCGCAGTTGCCATGGGGGTGGAAGTTATCTGCACCTTTCTGGGTCTACAGCTCCTACGTGCTAATCTCCATTTTACAGCGGGTATGCATGGCCACCTTAGAAGCCACTTGTTGAAGATGGACAAAGCCCAGTAAATAACAAAGAGACGTCTCAAGGGGTAATGTGAGGGTCTTCCACAAACGTTCAAAAGCTGACTTGTCCATGTGCCCACTACAATATTTAAAATAGACAACCAACAAGGGCCTACTGTATAGCACAGGAAATTCGGTTCAATATTCTGTAATAACCTAAATGGGAAAAGAATTTGAAAAAGAATGGATATGTGTATTCATTATAACTGGATACTGAATCCCTTTGCTATATACCTGTAACTAACACATCGTTGTTAATTAACTATACTCCAGTATATATATTAAAAAAGCTGTCTTGTGAATGAAGGGATTCACTCTACTAGGGGTAGGGCTCAAACCAGACACTGAAGGAGTAAGTGACAGTTGCAGGGAGAAACAAGTACAACTCAAACTAGAAGGAAGAAATTTCTAAGAGAGCTGCCCTTACAGGGCTTTCCTCGGTGAGCTTCCTCTTTCTGAAGAGCTGTCTCGCAGGAGGCCGGGGGACTTCCTGTTCAAGTTTTTGGTGGAGGACTGAAAGAGAATACTGTTAAGATGTTTTTCATTTTGGGGATTTCAAGACCTGAAGATACATTGAAACCTGGTATCAAATGGCCAGCTCACCAACTGAATCCACACTTGTTAATGGTGTGACTTGGGACAAGTCACAGCCTATCTGGCCTTGATATTCTCATCAGTAAAATGGGGACAACAGTAGAATCTACCTAACAGGGCTGTCGTGGGGGTTAAATAGTTAATAATGCCTGGTGTATAATGATCAGTTAATAAATATTAGCTGTTATTGCTATAGTCTTTAAGGGTGTGTCCTCCCTACCCCACATGAGGCATGTAAGTGATCTCTTCCTTATATACATCATTATCCATGTTTTCCCATTAATTATCTAAGTATTGACTTTGAATTCTGTTTCATTTTGTGTGTATGGCCACAGTCACCCTTTCCATGTACATAAGTTTGAATCTGCAAACAAAATTTAGCAGTTAACAAAATTTGCGTTAACTTCTCATCTACGTATTAATACTTTCTATTTCCTCAGGGTCATCTCCAACAACTTGTTAAACAGGCTCAGCTATCACATGATTATGAGAATGGGAACAGAAAATTTAAACACTTAATTACACACATTCACAATACATATGCAATTCTCAGGGAAAATAACCCTTAAATTAACTTTAAGGAAAAGAGAACTTAATTTTCTTAATGACTTTGTATCTTTTCCTGAAACCTGTCTTTCTTTTAGTTCCTGGGAGTATGGCCTATATCAACTTGCATAATTATGTGAAATATTATTAGAGAGCTTTAGAGAACCCAACCAGATTATAATGCAGTAGTCTTTTGATTCCTAGGAATATAATTCTTGACTATTAAAAAAAAAGGTGATTAACACGATATCTATTGCTTCCTATTTTCTGTGATCTGGCTAGCTGCCTTGACTTTGATGAGAAGGCTGTACTTGACCTTACATGGCTGGGAAAGTTTATTAGCTTTGCCTTAATTAAACTGGTGCCATATACTAGGAGCAAGGCTATCACTGCCCCTTTGTTACTTTTGGCGATCCTCCCGTTTCTCTTTTGTGATAAATTACCCACCCTTTGGCCCCTGATTATCCACCAGGGAAACAGGTTATTGCTTGTGGAACCGAGGGGGAAGTATATTATTATTTAATTTTCAACTGCAAGGGTTGGTATACTGTGTCAGGAACAAATAAATCTGAACAATTACTCACCTAATGTTTAAGCAATGCTGGGCTCCTTTTATTAGGACTTTATGGAAGCCTGTCTGCAAAGGATCATGGTCTGCTCTGGTTGGCAGATATCCAGGTGGTGAGGTCCTGACTGGTTCTCCAGCCCCAGAAACAAAGACGGTCTCTTGTCTTCTAGGGAGTCAGACATTTGCTAGAGTGGTGCTTACAAAATAAGAAGGTAGCTTGTACAAGTACCACAGATGTGTTTAAAGGAGAATCCTCCATTCAAAGCAGGGTTTTTTCACACCAAATTATCAACAGTGACTATTTAGTTGGAAAAGGATTTGGTGGATGGTCAGTGATTAGGGACAGCTTCTTTTTTTACGTTTATATATACTCACATTATTTGATTTTTTTAAAAAATCAAATTGGTGCAAATTACATTCATAATAAAAATGTGGACAAGAACTTGTGGCTCTCAAAATTAAAAATGTTTTTAATTTTGGGGAGATACTCTGACCCCATATACTGTCCTTGCTAAAAATCAAGAAACTGTCAGTTTTTGCGTGTATTTCAGAAATGACCCTCTCACTAGGGCTAGAGTGTGTATTTTAGAATTAGGCTTGCTTGAGTAGAGAAAAAAAGAAGAAATATGACTTGGGGAGGGAGGTAGAAAATGAGGTAATATGTGCAAACCAGGGTTCTCGAGTCACCGATTCTAAGAAAATGACTTTGTGGGAGAGGAAAGTAAACCTCTCAAAATGAGTATGTTAATTTGCTAGGGTGGCCATAACGAAATACCACAGACTGGGTGGCTTAAACAAGGGAAATTTATTTTCTCATAGTTCTGGAGGCTGAAGTCTGAGGTACAGGTGCCAGCCAATTCAGGTCCTGGTGAGGGCCCCCTTCCCAGCTTATGGACAGCTGCCTTCTTTCTCACATTGTCCTCACATGGTCTTTTCTCTGTTGGCGCATATCCTGATGTATTCTAATCTCCTCTTATAAGGATACCAATCACATTGGATTAAGGCATGCCTTAATGGCCTCACTTTAACCTAATTACCTCTTGAAAGATTCTTATCTACTTCTTTAAATTTGCATTCTGAGGTTCAGGCTTCAACATAGGAATTTAGGAATTTAGCGGGGAGGACACAATTCAGTCCATAACAATCAATAGATTCTCCCAGCTTTTTGTTATTCTTACAGATTTCAGTGAGAATGAGTTGGGAATAAAATGACTATATTCAAACTAATTGTAGTTTTCTGAAGAACAATGGGTAATCGCTAACCCATAATGTAAAATAAAATTAAAACTGAAAATCACATTGAGATGTACACAAAGTTAGTCTACAAGTTTAATGAATGAAAAGCAATTAAGAAATTGTTCATTTACAGGGAAGGGAAATTAACTTACTGGTATTTCTGATATTTGTATGGTCTGTTTTGAAAATTTGCTACCATTATAGGCAAGGGACTTATGTTGCTTTATTATTTTTTTAAAGAAAAGCAGGCATGGAAAGAAGCTATAAACATTAAACATACTGAAGCTTTAATAGAAGATGTTATTCAATAATAAAGAAAATATTCACCTGGTATTAATTCAATGTCCTTTAGAATCCTAATTAAATTATATTAATGAGTATATATTTAGTAGTCTTCCTTGGTGACTCAAGTCGGTAAAGAGTCTGCCTGCAATAAGGGAGACCCAGGTTCAATCCCTGGGTCAGGAAAATCCCCTAGAAAAGAAAACGGCAACCCACTCTGGTATTCTTGCCTGGAGAATTCCATGGACAGAGGAACCTGGTGGGCTACTGTTCATGGGGTCACAAAGAGCTGGGCACGACTGAGTGACTAACACTTTCACACGTCATATTTAGTAAAATGCTTATTTGATTATACCGAGATTTGAAAAGCAATAGCATCACAAATTATAATAGAAAATAAAAAGTTTTTCACAATTTTCTTTTTTAAAAATTAATTAATTTTTAAAAATTGGCTGTACTTTGCTGCCGCGAGCAGGCTTTCTCCAGTTGCAGTAAGCAGTGCTTGGGCTTCTCATCGCTGTGGTTTCTTTTGCTGTGGAGCACAGGCTCTAGGACATGTGGGCTCAGCAGTTGCAGCATGCAGGCTCAGTTGCTCTGTGGCATGTTGAATCTTCCCAGACTAGGGCTCGAACCCATGTCTCCTGCACTGGCTGGTGGATTCTTAACCACTGGACCACCAGAGAAGTCCTCACAATTTTCTAACTTTGAGTTAGTCCAGAAGGCTTTTATATTCTTTAGTGTTTAAAATGCTGAATTTTCAAATTATTTCTAGAGGGATTTTTTTTTTTTTTTTGCACTTGCCATCAGCCTCCCAATTTGATACATACCATGTATTGCCCATGTTGTTGCATTTTTCTATGTTCAAATACTATCTCCCCCAAGAAGATAGTAAGCATCTTGAGAAGAACTGTGATTAATTCATGGTTATTGCACTAAAGCCTTGCACATAGTAGGCAGCTAGTGACATATTTTATTTATCAAGGTCAAGAAGTATAGAAATGTTCTCATACATTTGACTATATTTTGTAAAATTGTGAAAATGTAAACTGAATTATGATAAAAATGATCAGATGATTTGCATGGTATTGTCTCTAGCTCTTGGGTCAGTTGTCCAAATAATTATCTCAGATACCTAAATAATTTAACCTGAAATGCTTAGAAAATGGAGGTTAAAAGGTTGTTTTAATTTCCTTTCTCAAGTTTCCTGTGTTAGGTATAACATAGTGGTGAAACATGAATTGCTGAGTTCATAATCCTGGCCTTGCCACTTACTAGCTGAGTAACAATGGGCTAATTACTTACTGTATCTGTGCTGAGTTTCTTTTCTATACAATGGGATAATATTAACAGCTATCTCTTCAGAGTTTTTCTGAAGATTAAATGAGTTGACAGGGTAAAGCTCTTAGAAGAGTGCCTGGGGCATTCTAAGTGCTATAACTGTTTGCATTTTGAGATGTTGCTATTGGTTTCCTAAAATAGGTGTAGACACTTTCCCCACCTCCAACCCAACTAATTTATTTGTCTTCTGCACTTGTGATGTTACTCAATTAAACAAACAAAATAAAATTGTTCCATTGATAAATGCACTTAACAAGTAAAGTAAATTTTAACCTGGGATGTTAAATGTATGCTTCCCAGACCAAATTTGAGAGAGTTTACGAGCGTAGCAAAAACCGCATCCATTCACTCAGAAACCATAGTTCCCTTGGTCTTTACAGTGAGTGTTATATGTTATGAATGCTCAGAAAATATGAGTGTTTAAAGCAAAATCCAGACAGGATTGATCAGAATTCCTTAGTAAGGAATCAAGTCAGAAATTGGATTAGGGCACAGAATCAGCTTTTTCAGGTGTGGCTTCCATGCTGTGGGTCACTTAACAGAAAGGATGGGGGACTTGGCACAACTTTAGGAGCCCTCACTTGGCAACCATTCTAGGGCCAACGGGGCAATGTTCAGCACTTAAGGAGGATATTCTCAGCAATAGGTCTGTGGAATCACAGGGATGTTATGTGTGTGGTTCTGGATTTATAGCAATGGAGAGATACTGGAGCATGTGGGAAGTTGCATCCGCTAGCAACTAGAACGCCTTTGGTTACAGTCCTGAAGTTAACACCAGGATTTTGTCAGAGGTCCTACCACTAACTGGTTGTATAGCTTTGGGTTTGTCACTCAGCCTCTTTGGATCTCCATTACTTCTTGGGGATAGGGCAAGGTGTTCTTGAAATTATCTTCCAAATCCAAGGTTCTATGATTCTGTGTTGGAAATAGAAGCATAGTCAATAAGGATTTACTTACTAACACCTCTTCATAAAGGCAAAATCAGAGTTTCTGCAATGATATTGTTAATTAATATTAAAAAAAAAAACCAACCCTGTCTGGTGATTATAAAATGAGAACTAGAAGTGATCTAATTTGGCCTTCTAATTTAGTGGTTTTTCAATTTTTTTTTTCTAGCATTTGATTTTTAGGAGAAAAAAGTAAATTCAAAGAAAACAATTTGTTATAAAAACCAGTATCCCCAAATCCATTTTCAGAGCCTAGCAAGTTCTTGCTCCTATAATTTTCACATCTTTAATATGCTACAGTTAGAGTTGGTGCTCAGTAATATGTATGTTCCTGAAATATCAAAGGGAGACTCAATTATTTAAACTACACTGTACTTAGAAGTAAGATGTTCCAATATACTATAAATATTTTTGCCGGTATACTCTAGAAAGCATTTTGATCATAGCTATAAATCAAATGTTCAATTTACCAGATCGGATTTTGATGAGCAATGTTGCATTGTACTTTCACTAATAATGTGTGTACATTTATGCAAGCCACTTCAGTTCAGTTATCCTCAATTTTCTCAGACAAATGTAGGGTAAGAGACAATGTCTAAGATGCTTTTTTTAGTTTCTGAATTCTATTTTATATTTTACCTCTAGAAATTCTAATTCTGTTCAATCTCTAAAATTTGAATTCAAGTCCTCTACTACTTCTTTCTCCTTTTTGAGAGATCCATCCAGGTAATTTTATTCTGATTCTCCCCACAAAACTCTGCCCCCTTTAGTCTATTACCTGCAGAGACTATTACATGCTTTCATGGACAGTGACTGGCACAGGAAAATGTTGACTGCTCTTCTCCTTTGCTGCTTGCAGAGATGCGTCTTGGGTGCTATCATCACCCCCATGAGCTCTGTTTAGAAAATAGATTTAGAGATTAGAAGATAAGAGGTGCAGATGACTAAAATCTGAGTTATTTTCCTAATCCAAGGCAGATACTTATCCATAAATTCAATCAGTCAAATACCTAGCAAATGTATGATAGACTAGGCATAGCCCTTGGCTTTAAGAAATGTATATTCTCTATTTAATAGTTGATGCTGATATATCTGGAATATTCAGAGCATTCTTAAATGCCAAACTCTATAGCCCTAACTATAATTGTGTTAGAAGTGCATGGAAGGGAGATTTGGGTTTGGAGTAGTCAGCAGAATCTGATGGAGGAGCTCTTATTTGCAGAGCATATTTAAGGAAGAATAATATGTATGATTCTTTAATGCATTAACTCAATCAACAAAGATTTATTTAGTGGCTACAATGCGTTGAACTTCTCTAAGTGCTGGGAATACAGCAGTGGGAAAGACAGGAAAAAACTTTGCCCACACAGAGATTTCATTCTAATAGAGGTATGTAAGGAAAAATAAATAAGTAAAATGCATATTATATCCCTTGGCCAGCGAGGAGATCAAACCAGTTAATCCTAAAGTAAATCAACCCTGCATATACGTTGAAAGGACTGAGGCTGAAGCTGAAGCTCCAATACTTTGGCCACCTGATGTGAAGAACTGACTCACTGGAAAAGACCCTGATGCTGGGAAAGATTGAAGGCAGGAGAAGAAGGGGGTGGCAGAGGATGAGATGGTTAGATAACATCACTGACTCAATGGACATGAGTTTGAGCAAACTCCAGGAGATAATAAAGCAAGCCTGGCTTGCTGCAGTCCAAGGGGTCACAAAGAGTTGGACACAACTTAGTGACTAAACAACAGCAAATATTATATCAAATGATGATAAGAACTATAGAATTAAAAGCATACTTTGGTTGTAAGATAGGTGTAAAGAATGATCTAAGGAGTGATATAATCTGACCATATCAAGCTAACACTCTCATTTTATAAATGAACAAACTAGCACTTAGAGGGGTTAAGTAGCATAACTAAGGTCACCCAGTTTATTAGGAAGAAAGAAATAAAATCCAGGCTCACCAGCTCCTACAATGTTCTTTGCAATTATGCACATATATTCCAGATGGTCAGGTCACACAGTTCAAGAGGTGGGTGTGAGCAGAGCTTGTGTGGGAGCCAAGGGTGTAGATGCTTTGTATTGGTGGGAAGTGGAAGATATGATTAGATAAAAAAGAAAGAAAAGTGAAGTCACTCAGTCGTGTCTGACTCTTTGCGACCCCATGGACTGTAGCCTACCAGGTTCCTCCATCCATGGGATTTTCCATGTAAGAGTACTGGAGTGGGTTGCCCAGGGATTGAACCCTGGTCTCCTGCATTGCAGGCAGACGCTTTACCATCTGAGCCACCAGGGAAGCTTAGATTAAAAAGGATAATGCCAAATTTGGAAAGCCATACAGGGAAGCTTAGATTTGGTGTGGGGATAAGAAATAAATAGGGTTTCCCTGGTGGCTCAACTGGTAAAGATTCTGCTTGTAATTCGGGAGACCTGGGTTTAATCCCTTGGTTGGAAAGATACCCTGGAGAAGGAAATGGCACTCATTCCAGTATGCTTTCCTGGAAAATCCCATGGACAGAGGAGTCTGGCAGGCTACAGTTCATGGGGTCACAAAAAGTCAGGCACAAATGAGCGACTTCATTTTCTTTCTTTCTTTTTAAGAAAGAAATGAATACAGTGACCTTTAAAAAAGTTTGACAATACTTAGTTGATTATTAATATATCAGTTTAACAAATGCCTGTCTACGTGACTGCCCTCTTCTCCCTTTCCTTGTCTCCCTCATAATATCTTGCAAAATAACTCCTATGTCTAATGCTATTTTCCATCAGGTAGAACAGTTGTGTGTTCTGAGAATATCAAAGACACCATGTTATGGATTATCTCGGAACTAGAAAGAAGGCATTTGGGGTAAACACAAATATTTGATTGCAATTCCACATTTAGGGATTAAACTGCAGGTGAAATGAAAATATAATGAGAACTAAATCTAGACATCAGATTTAGATAAAACGAGCAAGTTGAATCAGATGTAAACTGAGACCTGCTGTTACTCATATTTTCATCACAAATTGGGAGTTAAGCACTTAAGTTCCTTTAGGAGCTAATTCATAAATTATGAAGGAGATCATACATTTCCTTAAGTGCAGCAGTCATTGTTGCTGATTCATTTTCAAGTTTCCAATAATTAAGAGAGAAAGAGAGAGAGAGAGAAGCCACCAACAGAATGTACAAATGAGGATTTATTTACAGATCTGAAGATGCCATAACAGCAGTGTAGGTTCAGAAATAGTTTTAGTTTTTACTTTTCTTTGAGAAGGAATAGGAGCTTCAAGTAAGAAGAAAATACATGCATTAAAATACAACAAATTCAACAATCAGAAAATTATCAAACAAGGCAAATAAATCTTTTATGCTTGTAGCTGATGATATAATGTTAGATGTGAATGTTTATGTTGGCCTAAATCTAAGGCATGTCTTATTTTGGATCCTATGGACATTTTGGAAAGACTCCAGGAGTTCTTATATAAGGTTATAACTGGGGAATTTTGAGCCTTTATCATATGAGGGTCACCAAATACATTTGAGGATCTAATTTTGCATTTTGTGGGACAAATTTTTAGGAAATAACCTAAGCCCATAGCTCTCTAATTACAAACAGATCTCCAATACAATACAAAGGCTATTTAGATTATTTATTTATTTATTTATTTTTAAAATTTAAGGCTATTTAGATTGTTATGTCTGATGATTGGAGTGGAGTTGGAGATATTAGCTCTAATACTCACTTGCTGGTCTCTGACTATTACAATTTTCCCACCAAAAGACCAGAATTACTTACACAATTAATGCAAAGTAACTGTTATGCAAGAGGGTCCCTCCTACACATTGACTGTATTTCAGCCTTCTAGCCATTTTGGGGTTAATGATTCATAAAACAAAAAGGCTCTAAGCAGTGAAAAAAGATCTGTCACTGAATTGGGGGTCAAAGGGGGGTTACCCTTAGGCTTTCATCCATAATACATAGAATATGCGCATTAAGTGATAGGCACTTGGTCACAGGTACAGAAAGTTTTAGGTAAAAGTTAAATGGTCATTATTTTATTTTACTTATTTTACTTCCTTCCAGTTATTCATGCCAGGTGTTGATGTCTGAGATCATTGAATATATACAAGAGGAAACATTTCAAAATCTTCAAAACCCTTTCAGGAAACTGTATAATGCTCATAGCTCACCTGCTGGTTTATAATGATGGTTCTGAGTGGTCAAGAAATTCTTTCTTATTTTGGTCATGCTTCATGCCTTGCCGGATTTTAGTTTCCTAACCACGGATCGAACTCAGACTCTGAGCAGTGAGAACATAGAATCCTAAGCTCTGAACCCCCAGAATTCCTCTAAGAAATTATTGCAGTCCATTTACTCTGTTCAGTAAGGTAAGTAAGAAGATAATGTTCAGCTAGATTTCTGTCAAAATGGTTAACACAAAAAAACCGTGTTTTCCAAGAGGTAAACTTAGGTTATTTAGAAAATTCATTTGTTACTTTCTGCTCTACAACAAAGTGAATCAGTTATACATATACATGAAGTGAAGAAGTGAAAGTCACTCGGTCGTGTCCGACTCTTTGTAACCCCACGGACTACAGTCCACAGAATTCTCCAGGCCAGAATACTGGAGTGGGTAGCCTGTCCCTTCTCCAGGAGAGCTTCGCAACCTAGGGATCGAACCCACTTCTCTGCATTGCAGGTGGATTCTTAACCAGCTGAGCCACAAGGGAAGCCCATACATATACATATATCCACTCTTTTTCTAGATTCTATTCCCACATAGGTCATTACTGAGTACTGTGTAGAGTACCTGGGCTATACAATGGGTCCTTTTTAGTTGTCTATTTTATATATATATATTAGTGTCAAAGCTGTGCTTTTTAACCTCTGTGCTATTCTGCCTCTGTCAGATGATTAAATATATAAGAGCTTAGGAACATGAGCACAACTGAAGACTGAAAGGAGGGGATGTAAGAGAAATAATGGGGGAGTTTTAGGGAATTGAATATATTTAAATATGAAAGGATCTTAAAGTTCATGAAGCCCAAGCTCTTCATGGCACAAGTGAAGCAAATTGGTCCAGGAGGTTAAATACCTATGTCAAAGCCACACAGTATTGTTGGGAGTGTGCTGGATCCTAGAGCTCCACTTCTGGTTCTGGGCCCTCTCTATAGGCAGGGTGGATAGGAGCAAGTTGTTTGGGGCTCAAGGCAAGTCGCTTGGGCTCCAAACTCAATTTGAAGACAAAGAGAAAAGAATCTAGGGAGGAACTGCAGTGACTACTGCTGGTATATGAAGCACTTTATAGACCTTGCTATGACTCTAATTACACCATAACCATCCTTTGTTGTAGCGATAGAATTAGCTTGCCTTTGATGTTGGTGCCTTAGATTCCTTTCATTGTGGTCCCCACACTTTGCCAGGAAGATTGGTAGGGAGATAATAGCCATGCCTTTATTCATGAAAACATATGGCACTATTTTAATACTCTGTGTTTTTGTTGCCTAAATGTAGTCCCTACTCCATTCCAAATTGCCCTGGCAATTTTGCCAATGAGGAAATTAAAATAGAGCTTAAGTGACTCATTGTGCCCATCCTTGCATGAGATGCTCCCTTGATATCTCCAATTTTCTTGAAAAGACCTCTAGTCTTTCTCATAATGTTTTCCTCTATTTTTTTTTTTTGCATTGTTCATTTAAGAAGGCCTTGTTATCTCTTCTTGCTATTCTCTGGAACTCTGTATTCAGTTGGGTATATATCTTTTGAGAATCCCTAGGATTACAAGGAAATCAAACCAGCCAATCCTAAAGGAAAACAACCCTGTATATTCATTGGAAGGACTACTGTTGAAGCTGAAGCTCCAAAACTTTGGCCACCTGATGCGAAGAGTCATCTCATTGGAAAAGAC